GAGGGGAGGGGGAGAGGGGTGAAGGAGAGGGGGAGAGGGGTGAAGGAGAGAGGGGTGATGGGACAGGGAGTGATGGGGAGAGGTGGTGGGGAGTGATGGAGGAGGGAGGGAGTGAAAGAGGGGGGGGAATGGAGAGAGAGGGGGCATGGAGGGAGGGAAGAGGGACAGAGGGAGGGAAGAAGGATGGAGGGAGGGAAGGAGGGAGGGAGGGAAGAGAGCGAGGGTGGATGGAGTGGTGGGGACTGATGGAGGGGGGAGAGTGTGGTGGGGAGTACTGGGCCTCGTCGCTGTTCGTCGGCCTGTGCTTTACGTCATTCCTGTCGTGTCTTCGTTGACGTGCTCGCCGTCGTCCGCTGACGTCGTCTTCGTCGGCCATTGACGTGGGCGTTGTCTGCTGACGTCGTCGTCGTCCGCTTATGTGGTCGTTTTCCGCTGACGTCGCCGTCGTTGTCCGTTGACGTGGGCGTCGTCTGTTGATGTGGTGGCGGTCCGTTGACGTGGTGGTGCGTGGGTCGTCTGTTCGCGTGGCCCTCCTTTGACGTGGTGGGGCGCTGACGTGCTGTCCGTCCCTCGTTGTGGGCGTTGTCGTTGTCGCGTCGCGTTGTCGTTGTCGCGTTGTCGTTGTCGTTGTCGCGTTGTCGTTGTCGCGTTGCGTCGCCGTCGTGTCGCGTTGCCGGTCGTGTCGCGTTCTTGTTGTCGTGTCGCGTGGTTGTTGGGTTGTCGTTGGGTCCCGTTTTGGTGAGTGTTAGCGGGGTGGGTTGGGATGGAGGAGGGGGGGGACTCACCTCTGAATGACGACGAACGACGACGTCGTCGTCGTTCGTCGTTTGGTTGCCACGTCGCTGATAGCGACGTGGCATCGGTGACGTGGCGTTCCCGTGTTTGGTGGTCGTGGTTGCCGGTTGACGAGCGTTGTGGGTGGTGGTGACCACGGGTGATGGTGGTGACGTGGCGATGGGTGGGCGTCGTCGACGATGGTGGTGGTTGAGATGAGAGAGTGGGTTGTTTGTTTCTGATGCCCAAATCAAGCGTCGGCGTTTGCCGACGCTTGATTCGTGGCTATTCCTTCCGGGTGATCACCGGAATCATTCCGGCGGAATTTGAATTCCATTCAAAATTCCGCGGAATTGTTTGATCAATTTGGCAGGGCCCTCTGCCAAATTTGATTCCTCCGGAATTCCAGGAATTCCCCGGATTCCGCCGGATTCCGGCAGGAATCAGTGGAGGACAATAAAGACCTCCATTGAAGTCTAATCTACGAAGGTATGTTAGTGTCAGAATAACCTACAGAGTCAAACTGACATACCTCGTCGTTTAACGTGTCCTGGTTCCGTTTATCTGTCCATAGTGAGTGCAAGACGTCGCTTTTACTCGTTTCCAACGTCGAGACGACGTATTTCCATCCGCAGAACCGGTGCATACAGTCCAGAACACTCCACGCATGCTTTGAAATGACCACGGTTCGTCAATGTTGTGCATGACATCCTGTACGATGTAAGTACTCACTTTTCGTTGCCTTTCCACAGCTCATGACCTCTCCCAACTTCTCCATGCGAAACACCGCCTTTCCGTAGCATATCCATCCGCTCCCCGTACTCCCGTGCCCTCCTGGCGGCATGTACGCGTTAGATTTCAATGTCGAGTCTTCGTTTACGCAGTATCATCTTCTCATGTACCATTTCGGTTCGTAGTAGGTAGTACAACGAACAATATGGACTTTGATTAGGTGAAAACACGTGTAAAGGATAATTGGGTACTCACATAGCGAGAAACTGTCAACACATCGACGAGCGCTTGAAAACGAGCACAGGCATTAGTATTGTGCAGCAGGAACAACGGAAGGTAAGAACTCACCTTCTCCCATCCCTCATGACCCTATCGCAGCTCGTAAACGCGACATGCCGCCTCTCCGTATATCCATCTGTTCCCTGCACTCCCGCACCCTTCCAACAATGTTTATGCGTGGGCCTTGGTGTGAGCGTTATCGTTATCTTGTTCATCTTCTTGCGATCGTTTACCTGGTATCGTCTTCTCGCGTATTCTTTAGGCTCGTAGTAGGTCTCGGAGTGAATGTTCTCCATCATAATTTGGAGTCCACCTCGAGACGATGTATCTCTATCCGAAAAACCAGTGCATGCAGCCAGAATGCTCCATGCGGGTGCCGAGTGCTTGGAAATGATCACAGCCGTCAGTATTGTGCAGGATGAACAAAGCAATGTGAGTACTTACCTTTGGTTCACAACCCACATTCCAGCTTGTAAACACGAAACACCAGCTGCTGTCCGTAGCATATACGTTTGTTTCTCACAATTCCGTGTCCTTCTGATGGTGCTTATGCGTTAGATCGCATGTCGACTCTCTGTTTATGTGTTTTCGTCGTCTTGTGCTTCCTTTTGCGTGTTGGTATAATCCCCTGTAGGTAGTAGAACGAAATCTATGACTTTTGTTAGCAGAAAACAATAGTGTGCTACTGACTGTCATGTGTGGGCGCATTCCCGTCTCCATTGAGCTTTGTAACGTTGAGGAATAGAGTCCGAGTTCGTCATTGTATGCTTTGACGACGCCGTGGATGGAGCAAGTGGTGTCAACAGCAAATAGCCTTATTAAGCAAGTGTTAGATCCGAAGATACTGCTATATTAAGAAGTTTCTTCACCTTGTGGTATTAACATATCTTCCACATATTTGCTGCGCATGTATGGACTTGCCTTTTGTAGAAATTTCCTCTCCAATATCTTCGACGTTTATCCACCCCAGGATATTCTTAATAATTCCGATGGAAAAAAATCGATAAAAATCGATAAAAGATTTTAAATATCTTCCAAGTAATTCCGGCAGTTTAAAGGGAGCATTATTATTAATATCTTCCGCATTTTTCCACATTATACCCAGTATATATATAAGCCAAGGCCTGCAGTGTTTGATCCTTCTGGGTAACAAACAAACATCAACAAAGGTAGCTCCTGAGAGGAGATTCATGAAAGTGCCCTTTGAAGGGTGTCATCAAGTTAATGACAGAACTAACTCCATATTTCTTCAGTTGCAATTGGTTTCCATCATATAGTATGTATTTGGTATTTCAAATCAGCAGCTTTTTGGATGGATGGCTCAGGTTCCAGCTGGATGACGTTCCCAAAGGTGTTGCCACACAAGTACAAATAGTTTCCCCCCTAGTGCCCAGATCTTCAAAGGCACGGTTATTCATCCTCTACACTTGTATCTAATGAAAAATATACATTTTAGTACTCTTAAAGTAGAACAGAATCCAATTTTTCATGTTTTACATTCACGGCGCCCTCGCAAGTGGATGGATGCAACAGAGTGAACTTGGATGACGTGTTTGAAGCTGTAGACAAACAGATGCAAAGTTCTCAAAAAAACATCGGAAAAACAACTGAAATTGAGCAGGAGAGGAAGGGAACACTACCCTGACATTGGTAATACATATCAGTATGTTGAATTTACAACATTGGACTTGCTCTCTTATCAGAAGTTGGATAAAAATTGTAGAAAAGGAGTATCACTATCTGTAAATGTCAAAAACATATCATTCCAGCAACTTGTAAACTAATACATGCCAGCTATGGCCTACCAGCATTCAGTGCATAAGTAAAGGAATATTAGGACAGGCAGTGTCAAATTTTGAGTGAAAGAACACACCTGAAAGTCTTGTTCCAACTTTTTGACTTTTAGGAGGGTTTCAAAACATTGAATTGTGTTGGGAAATCTTGCTCTGCTTGCCTAATTTTGAGGGAATCTGATTTACCTCTTCTTAGCTAAAGGTGGGTGTTTATATAAAATTTGTGAGTACTGTATTCACTTTGATAATGAAGGTTTTGTTGTGAAAGCCATTGAATAGGGTGTGTTTCTTCAGACTTTAACTATACTGTGTCCACTTAAACCATACAATGGCCATAAAACTCCATAGATATCTTCAGAATGAAAAACTGAATGTATTCCCAAAGTTTTATGGAAATCAGAAGATTGTATAGATACAGGTGGATGGGATAGATGCAGAGGGTCACAATAAAGCAGTTGAAAGTGCCAGAATCTCAAGTGTGAGATTGGAATTCTTACGACTTTTACTCCCCGCCCAATGAATACATATTGCTACCTATCTTAAATGTTCATCCTATTCCTCAGAACCTCTAAATACATTTTTCTATATTTCTTTCTTCTCAGTAACGAACACAGAAGCGACTTGCGCAGCTCGCCGTCAGCACTCGGCATTCTCCGAGTGCTGTTGATGTGTGGTTGAACAATGCCACATCGTCTCATCATGACACCCACCAGATCCTCCTCAAGACAATAGTCCTCAATCTACCGCTCCCACCAAATCATCCTCAAGTCCAAGGTCTGCCACTGGATCTGCCTCGAGTCGTCATCTCTCGACATTCAGCCACTCTCGCCAAATCCTCCTCAAGCCGAGCTCCTTTGAGTCGTCTCTCGACGTTTATCACCCACAGGATGCAGTGAAACGAAACTCTACGACCATGGCCAATTTCGACACTTCGGACTGCCAGCACCACAATCTGCAAACAACAACGGGCCACGAGTGCCCACCCACGGACCTGACAACGATGATCCACCACCTTTCACCAATGACGGCGACCACCCACCACCACCACCAGCGAACAACAACGGGTCTCGGGTGCCCACTACCCACGGATGGCGACGAGCGTCCACGAGGGATCCGTCTTCCGAAGCGGGCGACCTACTGTGACTTCCAGGCCTAGGTGAGCTACCTCCTTCCCTTGCGTTCCCAGGTTTAACACAGCCCAGGTTCCACGTCGCCCACAGCGACGTGGCAACCATGTCAGGACGATAATGCCCATGCCGCCAAGACCAACGGCGACCATGCTCCACCATCATCACCCTCCATCGTTGACGGCAACTGCCCACCACCACCACAACCAACGAGCAACAACGGGTCGCAAGTGCCCACCACCCACGGATGGCGATGAGCGCCCACCACCACTACCACAATGGCCATGTCATCACCAGTCAAACCACAGGCGACCACCCACCACTACAACCACTATGGCCATGATTGCCTACCACCCACGGATGTCGAAGAGTGCCCACCATCATCGCCACCCAAACGACAACATGGGCGACGAGCGCCCATCACCACCACCACTGACACGGACAACCCAGGTGCCACGTCGCCGACAGCGACGTGGAACCAAACGACGAACAACGTTGTTCGTCGTTATCGGTTCGAGGACCACACTCCAACGATCCAGGACATCATGCAGTCTGCATGATCAAACTCGACAGCGTCAAGCATGAGGTGGAAGCACAT